TCCTCAGGGCTGAATGTGTGAGGGTGCCTGTGTCCCGGGGGCACTCAGCTTGTTCTTGGGGACGTCTCTGCAGTGCTGGGGGTCCTTGAAACCAGGCCCCTGTGTGCAAAGCGTCATCCCACCACAACCTCCCCATGTCCTGTTGTTTCCTGTGACTTCAGAGCGGGCAGCAGGCGGCAGCCTCTGTTCCCATCAGTTCCTGGACCGTTTCCCTCCGTATCAGCCCTGCCAGGCTCCAGGTCTCCATCTGTGTTTGCCCATTTCTCCACGGTGCTCATTACGTTAACTCTTTATCTTTTTAGGAGTTCACACCCGGAGATCCTCATGGGTTACTCCTAGGTCTGCACTCAGGAATGACCCCTGGCGGGGCCCAGGGTACCGTTTGGGATGCAGAGGATTGAACTCAGGTGACCTTGTGCACCTCCATGTTCTTCTGTCTCCAGCCCACATCATTTTGTTAACTTCTATATCTTAATTAGGTGTTTGGAATCCAGGAAAGGCCCATCCAGTTTTCAAACACAGACATTATTTTCTCTTAAAAATGATCACCAGGGGCTGAAGCAATAGCACAGCACGTAGGGCATTTGCCTTGCATGCAACTGACCTGGGTCCCCCAACACTGCCAGGAGTAATAGGGTCACTGGGTGTGACCCAAAAAGCAAAAATAAAAAAAATGAAATAAAATAAAATCTGGAAAAAAATGTTTTAAATGGTATCCATTTCTCCCCAAACATTTGCTCTACACTAGGTGGAATTTGCCAAATTTTAGTTTCACTTAGCATTCAAAACGTAAAGGCCCTCCCGTTGATCGTCGATTTGCTCGAGCGGGCCCAGTAACGTCTCCATTGAAGACTTTGTTGTTACTGTGTTTGGCATATCGAATACTCTCAAGACAACTGTAAATAATGGTTGAATTGTGTGTATTATTTTATTCTTAAACTTTTTGTCTTCTAGATTAATACCCAAGAATAGCTGAGATCAACACCAGGAGGATTACTCCATAGCTTAGAGGCCAGCCGGGTATTCTAGGGGAAAGGACAGTTCAGATAGAGAAGGGAGCACCAAATGGAGGGTGTTTGGAGGATCATCCCAGGAGGGGAGATGCAGGTTGAAAGTAGACTGGACTGAACATGTTCGCCACTCAATGCCTCTTTTGCTGATCACAACACCCAAAAGGAGAGAGAAAACAAAAGGGAATGCCCTGCCACAGTGGCAGGGGGGATGGGGAGGATGGGGGGGAGGGATATTATCCTGGTGGTGGAAAATGGGCACTGGTGGAGGGATGGGTATTTGATCACGGTATGACCGAGATCCAAGCACAAAAATTTGTAAATCTACAACTGTACCTCATGGTGTTTCACTAATAAAAAATAAATTAAAAAAAAAACTTTTTGTCTTCTTTGGGTCACTCCCCATGATGCTCAGGGGTTGTTCCTGGCTCTGAACTCAGGAATTATGCCTGGTTAGGCTCAGGGGGACTAGGTGGGATGCTGGGGGTTGAACCTGAGTGACCCAGTACAAGGCAAGCTTCACCCCAATGGTTTGTATTTTGTAGATACACAGGAAAGTGCTTCTGTACTGGAAATTATTTACTTCTTCAATTTACTGACCATCCTACAATTGTTAAATTTACATGAAAAGTTCCAATAATTGGGGCTGGAGCGATAGCACAGTGGGTAGGGCGTTTGCCTTGCACACGGCCAACCCAAGTTTGATTCCCAGCATCCCATATGGTCCCCTGAGCACCACCAGCGGTAATTCCTGAGTGCAGAGCCAGGAGAAACCACTGAGCATCTCCAGGTGTGACCCAAAAAGCAAAAAAACAGAAAAAGAAAAGTTCCAATAATCTCCTACTCATTCACAAAATTGTAGGTGTTTGGCAGGTATAAAAGGAGATACAATTGGGGCTGGAGCGATAGCACAGTGGGTAGGGCGTTTGCCTTGCACGTGGCCGACCCAGGTTCAATTCCCAGCATTCCATATGGTCCCCTGAGCACCACCAGGAATAATTCCTGAGTGCATGAGCCAGGAGTAACCCTGTGCAATGCCGGGTGTGACCCAAAAAGCAAAAAAAAAAAGAGAGAGAGAGAGAGAGAAACAATTAAGTAACAATTCAATAATTTAGTAACAATGTGAGTTTGTAGCAATTTAGTAACAATATCTTGGATCCCTTTCCCACTCTCTAATTATTTCACCACAGTCAGCAAACCACACTGACTTTTCAGATACTTCTCTCTCTATTTTATGCCGGTATTTATCCTTCCTAGGGAAGGTTAACTGAGAGCAAGGTGGGTCGGGCCATACGGCAGGTGACCGTGTCTATGATGTCCCCGGGACCCTGAGGTGACAGGATTCCTTATCACGGACACCCGCCTGCTCCCCAGACCGCGTGATTCAAAGGAGGCTGGACACACCTCCGGTGGGGACCACGGTGCTGATGGTGAAGGCTGGGATGAGAGGCAGGTCTGAGGGCAGAGGCTGGGGACCACCGGGGCATCCTGACTCTCAGTCTCAGTCTGTTCTTTGCTTTTGATCTGACTTTTATTTAAGTCAATTATATCATTTCAGAGGTACCACCAGGAGAGTACTGGGGGGACAGGTCTGGGGCTGACAACGCAGCCATCCCTGCACTCAGCCGTGCGACTGAGGAGGGATTTGGGGCAGCTTTGTCAGTGGAACAGAATTCCCAAGCGTGGGTGATGGCTCCCAGCTTCTTCTTTTTTATTTTCATTTTTTATTTTATAAAGTCATTCACAATATTTCATTACATTTAGTATTCAATCCCATCACCATTACACCTTCTCACCACCGTATTTCTTTTCTTTTCTTTTATTAGTGAAACACCGGGGCTGGAGTGATAGCACAGCAGTAGGGCATTTGCCTTGCACGCAGCCAGCCCGGCCGAGCCGGGTTCGATTCCTCCGCCCCTCTCGGAGAGCCTGGCAAGCTACCTGTGATGTATGCGAAACGTCAAACACAGTAGCAACAAGTCTCACGATGGAGACGGTACTGGGCCCGCTTAATCAAATTGATGAAGAATGGGAGGACAGTGACAGTGACAGTGAAACACCATGAGGTACAGATGTAGACTTACACACTTTTGAGCTTGGGTTTCAGTTATACAATGATCGAGTACCCATCCCTCCACCAGTGCCCATTCTTCACCACCAATGATCCTAGTAGACCTCCCACTCCCAAATTCCATCCCCCCAACCCCACCCCGCCTCTGTGCAGGGCATTCCTTTTTTTAAAAAAAATTTTATTAGTGAGACATCATGAGGTACAGTTGTAGACTTACAAATTTTTGTGCTTGGGTTTCAATTACACAGTGATCAAATACCCATCCCTCCACCAGTGCCCATTTCCCACCACCACGGATCCCAGTATCCCTCCCACCCCCCATTCCCCCCATCCCACCCTGCCTCTGTGGCAGGGCATTCCCTTTTGTTCTCTCTCTCCTTTGGGGTGTTGTGGTTTGCAAAAGAGGCAATGAGTGGCAATCATGTTTGGTCTATATTCTACTTTCAGCAAGGGCATTCCCTTTTGCTCACTCCTTTCTTTACGGTATTGTAGTTTGTAATAGAGGTTTTGATGAATGTCCATCACTCACCACCATATTTCGGGTGTTTCCTTTCCGAACCCAAATCCCTGCCCCAAAGCAGAACTGAAATAATAGTTTTCCCTCTAAAGTTGGTTGCCTCCTACTTTGAATCCCATCAAATGTGCTGCTGTACACTTGGAGTATGGGTCGGCTGTGTAACAGGAAGTATCGCGTGGCTGCATTTGCAGCCGTGTGGTCCATGAAAAGGTTCACTGGGGAGTGAGGCTCAGCTTCAGCATGTGGAGAACGGCTGTGAACGTGGCGGTGCATGAGTTCTTTTTTGTTTGTTTTTTTTTGCTTTTGGGGTCACACCCAGCAATACTTAGGTGTTACTCCTGGCTCTGCATTCAGGAATTACTCTTGGCGGTGCTTGGGGGACCACATGGGATGCCGAGTACAAGGCAAATGCCCTACCCTCTGAGCTATCGCTCTGGCCCCGGTGGCCCATGCATTCTGGAGGTTTTGGGCTGCCAGGGCTGGGTCCCTCTGGGGAACCCTGGTGAAACAGCCTGGCATGGGTTCCAGCAGCCTGGTTAAGGCATGTGTTATGTTGCTTCCTTCCTGGAGAGAAGGACATGTAATCTGGATGGTGGCTGATAACAAGATTATCTGGAGCCAGCCAGGGGTGTCTTATGGGCTGGGCTGCTGAATTGCTGGAGACAGGGGGATACGGGCAAAGGATCTCCGTTCCGGGTCCCGCTGAACCCAGAGTTCTCAGTCACAAAGACCCGCAAGTCTCCCGGCTCCTAGGACCACTGGAGGGTGCTGCAGGATCCCTGGGTGGTGATACAGGACTTGGAGAGAAGGGGCCTGTTACCATGGGGACAAGACTCTGCAACCTTAGGCTGTGAGCACCATGGAGTGTCCACAGCGACACCCCAAAGTGACCAGGTGACAGGTGACACAGCACACGGGAGGGAGAAAATTTTGGGTTTAATAGAACGTAGCTTGGAGGGGTCCATGGGAGGGAATGTGTGAGGTCTGAGTTCCATCCCAAGCAAAACACACAAACACAAACACACACACACAATCCATACAAATAATCACAATCCATGACACTCCTGCTTTTGGTTGGGTTTGGTTTTGTTGCCTTTGGGTCACATTGTCTGCACTCAGGAATCACTCGTGGCAATGCTCAGACCTTAACAGGCTACCAGGGATCAAACCCAAGTTGGCCATTTGCAAGGCAAGTTGTCCTACCCTTTGTATCATCTCTCCGGCCCAGAATTAAAATTAAAACCCCCTACACTTCACTTCATGTACAAGATCACAAGACACCAGAGCCAGGATGGATGCAGTTTATTGTCTGGTGCATCTGTTAACAAGCAGAAGCTGGTTCTCTGTGGTCCGGATGCAGCTCAGCAGGGCACGAGGGGGGAGGGGGGCTGGCCCAGTGCGGTCAGCGGTAGAAGAGCAGCACGGTCGCCTCGGTGATGGCGCGGCTGTTGCTGGATCCCTTGTGAGTCCCATACCCGTTCCAGTCGAAGGCGGAGAAGTCCCCGCACTGCTTGGGTTTGGACTCTGGGAAGTAGCCTCCTCCTCCGATGCAGTGCTGGAAGCAGAGAGGGAACTGAGGGTTTTGCAGCCAACCCCAGAGTGTGGCAGCCCCAGATCTAGCTCCCCTCTCTGGGCTGGGACCCCTCAATCCCCGAGTCCTTCTCCCCACAAGACTCTGGAGGCAGCTGCTGCTTCCTGCATCCTTGAAGCCCTCTGCCCCTCGCAGCCCCCATCAGGACCAGCCTGGATGCTCCTCCCCAGGGCTCAGCCCCCCTCAACCTCAGCTGCTCTCAGCCTCCCCCTGCATATCTGCACCCATTTTGGGCCAGGCCCAGTGCCTTCCCCCCACGAAGGCTCACAGCTACCTGAGGACAGTGAGGGACCCTATTCTCACCTGACTTGGGCCTCTGTCACTGACACAGGACAGCAGCTGAGTCCCAAACACACCCAGTCATTTTAGTCTTGGTCACCACCAGTGCCCCATGTCACACAGTGCCCAGAAGTGCTGATTTAGCAGTTCGCAGGCCCTGGTGTGGGGCCCTATCCCTTACCTGCCACCAACGTTCCCTGACTCCTAAGGCATCCTGGTCTATCACAGTATTCCCCGAGCAAGGCACACAGGCCCCTGCTTCGTCATCAAGGCACCCGGATCCAGCTGTGGCCACTGGCCTTCTGGCCATGCCTTGGTATATTGCTCAGAGATTGTGTCAATCAAGCCCTACAGCCCACAGCGATACCCCAAATCTAGCTCGGGCACCTCCGCAAACCACCTCTGCTCAGACCCAGGGTGGAGCGCACGGTTCCCTGGCTCCAAGACCTCTTCCCCCTACCCCCACCCCCGACCCTGTTGCTCTCTGATGCATCTCGGTGTTAGCACAGTCCTCCCATTGGGACATCAGGGTGTGCTGTGGCCAGAGCCAACAGCTCTGTGATTGCAGGTGAACCATCTGTTTGTGCTCAGACAGGGAACACTGGTGCCTGTGGATTCAGTGACATGCTGACACATTTGTTCCTAACTGAGATCCCAGATGGTCACCATAGAGCTTCCCTGTTCCTGGAGGAGTCACTGCATGAAGGTGTGTGATGGGCACTGGAGAACTGAGGAAGATCAAGAAGCAAGGGAGGAAGTGGCTGTGAGAACACACACACACACACACACACACACACACACACACACACTCTCTCACACACAGGTATAAAACACATGAGCATGCATTCATGAATACACATTCACAGTATTTACATATACACAGTATGCACAGACAAGCACACATGGACCATTGTGGATCATACAGACTCACGTGTTCTGTGTTGCATCCAGTAACTCTCATCCCTGCACATAGCGCGTTGGCTGCTCTCTCATTATTAAACACCCGGAATTGGATAAATCCAGCATCAAATTCCCCTGGGAAGGAAGAGCAGAGAAGGGTCTCGCATCAGTGCAGGGAGCCAAGGAGCCCCTTGACTGAAAGGGAGACGGGAGCAGCCACGTGGCAGCACCAGCCCGTGGCCCAACCCCACCACCCCCACCCGCTCCCTGGAAGCCCCCAACGTGCCCTGAAACCTCTATTCCCATTCGAGACTCCATAGATTATTGTCCTGAAAGATCTTTCCTTGTAATAGGACTGAGAGCTGCCGTCCATTCCCTAAGATGGAAAGTCTACCTTAAGTTTCTAGGCTGGGAGCAACCCGCACTTCCTAACCCGTGTAGATAATACCAGCGGGGTTATTCCCCGTGTGACAGCCTGTCAAGGGGAGTGAGTCCATCTGCTCACAGAGATTTCTCATCACGCTGCAGGGAGGAGCGAGAGCAGTTTCCAGACTAGAGACGGGATCAGTGGCGCGTTTGTCACGGCTGCTCTGCTCGGTTCCACGAACCACAGGACAAGGAGGCTTTATCCTCAGCATAAACAGCAAACACTCACTTTGGCCAATAGGGGAGTAGTAGGAGGCGGTTTTCCGGGGACTCCCATAGTCATAGTCCACGGGGATGGCGGGGCCGTTGTCGGTCCAGCACTTTCCGATGCCGTACTGGACGGGGTATCTCTGCAGGAGCCACCAGGGTGAGTCAGAGCCGTCGGCCACATGCACGAGGGGCTGAGTGTCCCCACACCAGTCCCTGTCCCGGTCTCCCCTTTCTGGCTGTCTTTGGAGAGACTTCCCTGCCTGGCTCAGGTCTTAGGGGAGCAGCAGAGAGCGAGAGAAAGAGATAGAGAGAGACCGAGAGAACAGAGAGAGACAGAGAGATGATTGTGGACAAACCCCCTGAACAATCCCGAGGAAAAACTAGTGACCAGGTACAGAGATGACTCATTTCTCACCCTAACCATTGGCACTTGCCCCACTCAACCCACAGAAGCCTCCAGAATTACCCACGTACCTGGTAGAGGCCAAACAGATTGTCACCGAATTTCTTGAAGAAGCCTGACGAGGTGTAGTACCTCAGTAGAGACCTGCTCCTCCAGGAACTCAGAGGGGTCTTGTTGGGGACATGCCAGATGGCCAGGTCCCCCGCCCGAATATCGTAGTAGCCGGGATTCTGCAAACCCCACAGAGCGGTGGTCAGAGGCCCATGGCCACACCCCACACAGCCTCATGGAGCCCAGAGCACCAGCAGGACAGCAGGACACAGCACAGACCCCCCAATCAGCAGACCAGGACCTTGAACACACCAGGTCCCTGAGTCACGGAAGGAGTGGTCACTCAGGACACAGAGGTCTCTCTGTCCACGCGCCTCTGCCTGTGCCCAGCCCATCTGCTAAAACTGAGCCAGCCCAATGCTCCCAGTGCTGGCCCAGCTGGGGCCCACCTTGTAGTCGTCGCTGGTGGCTGCCTCTGCAGACCCAAAGGTATTGTAGTTGGCCCAGTTGTCCTCCCCCTTGGGAGTGTCTTTTCGGTTGCCCTGCTGGCTGGTCCAGCGGTCCCCTGGCGTGCACTTCCCATACATGTTGTTCTCATGCACGCTGGCCACCAGCGTCCAGCCACCGCCATTTGTTTTCATGTCACAGAAGGTCTGGTAGGCTTTCCCTTGCTCAGTGCGGAGTAAGTACAGGCCATCTGCGGGGGACAGTGGCACAGAGTCCTGGTCACTAACCCAAAATAGGGAGCCCTGGAGGTCCAGCATGGTCGGGCGTCACCAGGAGGGGACATGTGCCCCAGCCCCCATACCTCTGCCGAGACAGTTTGGAGCAGACACTCAAGACAGCCCTCCTGGCCAGCTTCCCTGAACACTCAGTATCCCTCCTTCAGGGTCCCTGTGTTCCCCAGGTTCCCTGACACTGAACACAATCAAATTGGGGGACAAATCTGCCCCACGGGGGTCCCCGAGCCTCGTCCCCTCAGAATCTTGCAGATTTCTGAGCTGACTAGTGCTGAGTACTCTGTGTCTACTGTGGCTGCCACAGGGCGAGAGTCAGTTACCTTTGGCTCTAGGATTCTTCTTCAGAATTTCCTTGCAGCTCCGGGGCAATCGTGCGTACATCATCTCGGTCATGCTTGGAGTCGGAGTTGCTCCTGAAAGGGACATTCCCTGTCCATGGGGGCCCCAACTGCCACCCGCTTGCCTGCCCAGCCCCCCTCCCTGCCTTGGCAGCAGCCCTGTCCACCCACTCCTGGGGGCCAGCCAGACTCACCTGCACCCCCGGCTAAGGTGGCCACAGAGAGGAACAGTAGGCAGCAGTGCAGGGACATGGGCCTCTGAGGGGACAGGACACGGGTCAGTGGCCACCGTGCCCCACAGCTGAGCCAGAAGCCCCCAGGGACCCTCTGGAACCGGGTCCCCCAGTCCCACACCCCGAGGGGCAGCTCCCGCTCTGACCCTCACACACCTGAGCTGCCATCTCTGTCCCCCACAGGCGTGTCCGGTCTGAGCTCCTGGTCACCACACAGAGGCGCGTCCTTCCTCCCGCACGGCCGAGCTCAGAGTCCTGGGACAGCACGGGTCCGGCCGCCTTTATGGGTGCAGCCCCCCGAGCCCTGTATCCCGGCCAAGCCCCAGCCCTTCTGATGTCCTTTGAAGGCCCTGGCGGCCGCGAGGACAGAACTCGGCCACCAGATGCCATCTAAAGGGCACGGAGGTGGGTCCCTGCCTGCTGGCACAGTCACTGGCACGAGGTCAACGCTGACTCCTCCTGTCAGGGCAAATATTGCTTCTGTGACTCTTGATTCCTGCAGGGTGGAGGGGGTGAGGGTGTCCATGTCCCAGGGGCACTCAGCTTGTTCTTGGGGGCGACTCTGCAGTGCTGGGGGTCCTTGAAACCAGAATCTTGTGTGTAAGCCTCATCCCACCCACGATCTCTCCTGGGACCCCCATAACCTGTTGTTCCCTGTGACCTCAGAGTGGGCAGCGGGCGGCAGCCTCTGTTCCCAACGGTCCCTGGAACTTTTCCCATCGTTATCAGCCAGGCTCCAGGTCTCCATCTGTGTTTGCCCAATTCTCTGCGGTGCTCATCACATTGACTCTTTGTCTTTTTTGGGGGGTCACCCCAGAACATCTTCAGGGGTTCCTCCAGGTTCTTCACTCAGGAATGACCCCTGGCGGGGCCCAAGGTACCAATTGGGATGCTGAGGATTGAATTCAGGTGGGCCACTTGCACCCGTCACGCTGTTTTATCTCTCCAGCCCACTTCATATTGTTACCTTGTGTATCTTAATTAGGTGTTCAGTATCCAGGAAATTTCCATCCCATTTTCAAACACACAGACATTATTTTCTCTTACAAATGTTCACTAGGGGCTGGAGCGATAGCACAGCGGGGAGGGCGTTTGCCTTGCACGCGGCCGACCCGAGTTCGTTTCCCAGCATCCCATATGGTCTCCTGAGCACCGCCAGGAGTAATTCCTGAGTGCATGAGCCAGGAGTCACCCCTGTGCATTGCCAGGTCTGACCCAAAAAGAAAAACAAATGTTCACAATTTCTCCCAAACATTTGCTCTATACTTGGTAGAGTTTGCTAAATTTCACTTAGCTCATCATTCAAGACAGCTGAGATTAGGGGTCCAATGATGTCTCTATTACCTTATATTTCATAAACTTTTTGGCTGCTTGTAGTCACACCTATGATGCTTAGGGGCTATTCCTGGCTCTGAACTAGGGAATTACACCTGGTGGGGCTCAGGGGACCAGATGGGATGCTGAGTATCAAACCTGAGTGGACCCAGTGCAAGGAAGCTTCCCCTCAGTGGTTTGTATTGTAACAGATACCCAGAAAGTGCTTCTGTACTGGAAATTATTTACTTTTTTAAATTCATTAACGATCCTACAATTGTTACATTTGCATGACATGTTCCCATAATATCCTCATTCACAAAAATGGAGGTGTTAGTTAGGAATAAATGGAAAAAGTAACCATTTAGTAATTTAGTAACAATGTAGGTTGGTAAGAATTTAGTGACAATTTAACGATCTCTTTCAACCTCTCTAATTGTTTCATCACAGTAGGTAGACTATGCCAATGTTTCAGATACTTCTCTCTGTATTTTATGCCCGTGTTTATTCTGGGGAAGTTTGACTGAGAGCCAAGGCGGGTCGGGCCATATGGCGGGTGACCATGTCTGTGATGTCCCCAGGGCCCTGAGGTGACAGGATTCCTTATCATGGACACCCGCCTGCTCCCCAGACCGCGCACTTCAAAGAGGCCAGATGAGCCTCTGGGAGGACCGTGGTGCTGATGGTGGAGGCTGGGGTAAGAGGCAGGTTGAGGGCAGAGGCTGGGGACCACAGGGGACCCTGACTCTCAGTCTCAGCCTGTCTTCTTAGGGTAGCTGCGATGTCCCAACTCTTTGCTGTTGATCTGATTTTTATTTCTGCCAATATTTTATTTCAGAGGTACCACCAGGAGAGTGCTGGGAGACAGATCTGGGGCTGACAACGCAGCCGCCCCTGCACTCACCCCTGCGACTGAGGAGAGATTTGAGCAGCGCCGTCAATGGAACAAGATTCCCAACCATGGGCCATGGCTCCCGGCTTTTTAAAAAATTTTTATATTTTATAAAGTCATTCACAATATTTCATTTACATATAATATTCAAGCGTCAATCCCACCATTTTCACACCTTCCCACCACCATATTTTGGGTGTTTCCTTTCCGAACCCAAATCCCTGCCCCAAAGCAGACTTGAAATAATATTTTTCCCTCTAAAGTTGGTTGCCTCCTACTTTGAATCCCATCAAATGTGCTGCTGTACACTTGGAGTATGGGTTGGCTGTGTCCAGGAAGTATCATGTGGCCGCATTTGCAGCCGTGTAGTCTAGAAAAAAGTTTACTGGGGAGTGAGGCTCAGTTCGAGCATGTGGAGAGCGGCAGTGAGCATGGCAGAGGTTAAGTTCTGGAGCTTTTTTGCTTCCAGGGCTGGGTCCCTCGGGGTGTTGAGGGGTCTCACCAGTTCCCCTCTGGGATACCCTGGTGGAACAGCCTGGCTTGGGTTCCAGCAGCATGGTTATGGCATGTGTCATGTTGTTTCCTTCAGGGAGAGAAGGACATGCGATCTGGATGGTGGCTGATGACGAGATTATCTGGTGCCATCCAGGGGTGCCTTATGGACATGGCTGCTGAATTGCTTGAGACAGGGGGATATGGACAAAGGATCTCCATTCTGGGTCCCATTCAACCCAGAGTTCTCAGTCACAAAGACCCGCAAGACTCCCAGCTTCTAGGAGTACAGGTGGGCACTGCAGGGTGCCTGGGCAGTAGGGCAGGGCTTGGAGAGGAGGGGCCTGTTACCATAGGGACCAGGACTCAGCAACCTTAGGCTGTGAGCACCGTGAAGTGTCCACAATGACACCCCAAAGTGACCAGGTAACAGGTGGCACAGCTCATGGGACGGGGAATAGTTTGGTTTTAATAGAAACGGGGAGGGTCCACAGCAGAGAATGTGTGAGGTCTGAGTTCCATCCCAAGCAAAACACACAAATACAAACACACACACACACACACACACACACGCATACACAATCCACCCAAATAATCATAATCCATGATGCTCCTGCTTTTGGTTTGGTTTGGTTTGGTTTGGTTGCCTTTGGCTCACATTATCTGCATTCAGGATTTCAGGAATCACTCATGGCTGGGGCCAGAGCAATAGCGCAGCAGGGAGGGTGTTTGCCTTGCACGCAGCTGACCTGGGTTCAATCCCCAGCATCCCATAAGGTCCCCCAAGCACCACCAGGGGAAAGTCCCGAGTACAGAGCTAGGAATCACTTGTGGCGATACTCAGCCCTTAACTGGCTGCCAGGGATCAAACCCAAGTTGGCCATTTGTCACGCCAGAAAGATGGCCCAGGATTTAAATTAATACCCCTTAATACTTCATTTAATTTGTACACGATCATAAGACACCAGAGTCAGGCTGAATGCAGTTTATTGTCTGGTGCATCTGTTAACTAGCAGCAGCTGGTTCTCTGTGGCCGGGATGCAGCTTAGCTAGGACACGGGAGGGCTGGCTGGACACCGTCAGCGGTAGAAGAGCAGCACCGTCGCCTCGGTGATGGCCTTGCTGTTGCTGAAATATTCCTGTGTTCCGTAACCATCTGCATCATACGCTGAGAAGTCCCCACACTGATTGGGGTTGGACTCCGGGAAGAAGCCCCCTCCTCCGATGCAGTGCTAGAAGCAGAGAGGGAATTGAGGGCTTCACGGCCACGGCCACGGCCACCAGAGTGAGGCAGCCCCAGGTACTCCCCGTGGCATGGCACACAGGACCCTGAGCAGTCACCAAGGTGGCCCTGGTCTGGCTGTGCCCACTGGCCTCTGGATATGCCTCGTTCTATTGCTCAGAGGTTGTTTTAACCAAGCCCTGGACCTCGAAGTGATACCCCAAATCTAGCAGAGCTTGAAAACCTCCACAAACCATCTCTCCTCAGACCCAGAGTGGAGCACGTGGTTCCCTGGCTCCAAGCCTTCTTCCCCCCCGAACCTGTTGGTCACTGATGCATCTCGGCACCAACACAGTCCTCCCATCTGGACATCAGCTCCCAGATTGAGCTCATGTGTGTACAGGTAAATCATCTATTTGTTCTGAGACAGGGGACACTGGTGCCTGTGGATTCAGTGACACACTGATACATTTGTCCCTAAATGAAGTTATGGATGACTTTCATGGAACTTCCATGTTCCTGGAGAAATCACTGCATGAGGGTGTGTGATGGGCACTGGAGAACTGAGGGAGATCACAGAGCCAGAGAGGTTGTGAGAAACACACGCACACAAACTCATACACACACACATACACACACAACTACACTCAGCACAGGTAGGAAAAACATGAGCCTGCATTCATGAACACACAGTATTAACATACATGCACGTACGCACACACATACATGCATGCACATGTGTGCACGTGCTGATCACCCAGACTCACATGTTCCGTGTTGCATCCGGTAACTCTCATCCCCGGACACAGTGCGTTGGCTGCTCTCTCGTTATTAAACACCCGGAATTGGATAAATCCAGCATCAAATTCATCTGGGGAGGAAGAGCAGAGGAGGGTCTCGCGTCAGTGCAGGGACAAAGAAGCCCCGTTTCCGAGCAGGGAGATGGGAGCAGCCACGCGGCAGCATCAGCTCTTGGCCCAGCCCTGCCACCCCCACCCGCCCCCCGGAGCCCCCAACACGCCCTGAAATCTCTTTTCCCTTTCAAGACTTTGTAGACTATTGTCCTGAAAGATCTGTCCTTGTGATCATTATTACAAAGAGCTGCTGTCCGTTCCTGAAGGTGGAAAGTCCACATTAAGCTTCTAGGCTGGGAGCAACCCGCACTTCCTAACCCGCGTAGATAGTTCCAGTGGGGTTACCCCCCGAGTGACAGCCTGTCACGGGGAGTGAGTCCATCTGCTCGCAGAGATTTCTCATCCCGGTGAGGGTCAGGGGCGCGTTTGTCAAGGCTGCTCTGCTCCGTTCCAAGAACCACAGGACAAGGAGACTTTATCCTCAGCAAACACTCACTTTGACCGGCAGGGGAGTAGTAGGAGGCGGTTTTCTGGGGACTCCCATAGTCATAGTCCACGGGAATGGCGGGGCCGTTGTCGTGCCAACACCTGCCGATGTTGTACTGGACGGGATATTTCTGCAAAAGCCATCAGGGTGAGTCAGAGTCATAAGCCGTGTGCACGAGGGGCTGGGTCTCCACACACCAGCCCCTGTCCCTGTCCCATTCAATCCCCAACATCTCCTGAGACACTGTGCCTGGCTCAGGTCTTAGAATTGCAGCAGAGACAGAGACAGAGGCAGAGACACAGAGAGTGACAGAGAGATGATTGTGGACAAACCCCCTGAACAATCCCGAGGAAAAACTAGTGACCAGGTACAGAGATGACTCATTTCTCACCCTAACCATTGGCACTTGCCCCACTCAACCCACAAAAGCCTCCAGAATTACCCACGTACCTGGTAGAGGCCAAACAGATTGTCACCGAATTTCTTGAAGAAGCCTGACGAGGTGTAGTACCTCAGTAGAGACCTGCTCCTCCAGGAACTCAGAGGGGTCTTGTTGGGGACATGCCAGATGGCCAGGTCCCCCGCCTGGATGTCATAGTAGCCGGGATTCTGCAAGCCCCACAGAGCGGTGGTCAGAGGCTCATGGCCACACCCCGCATAGCCTCATGGAGCCCAGAGCACCAGCAGGACAGCTGGACACTCACAGACCCCCCAATCAGCAGACCAGGACCCCGCACACCCCAGGTCCCTGAGTCATGGAAGGAACGGTCACTCAGCACACAGAGGTCTCTCTGTCCACGTGCCTCTGCCCATGCCCAGCCCATCTGCTAAAGCTGAGCCAGCCCAGTGCTCCCAGTGCTGGCCGGGCCGGGGCCCACCTTGTAGTCGTCGCTGGTGGCCGCCTCTGCAGACCCAAAAGTGTTGTAGTTGGCCCAGGTGTCATCCCCCTTGGGGGTGTCTTCTCGGTTGCCCTGCTGGCTGGACCAGCGGTCCCCTGCCGTGCACCTCCCAGCCATGTTGTTCTCGTGCACACTGGCCACCAGCGTCCAGCCACCGCCGTCCACAGTCATGTCACAGAAGGTCTGGTAGACGAGCCCTTGCTCAGTGCGGAGTAAGTACAGGCCATCTGCAGGGGACAGCAGCATGGAATCCTGGTCACTAATCCAAAACAGGGAGCTCGGGAGGTCTAGCATGGTCAGGCGTCACCTGGAGGGGACATGTGCCCCAGCCCCCAGCCCCCAGCTGGGACAGTGCAGAGCAGACATTCGAGACAGCCCTCCTGGCCAGCTTCCCTGAACCCTCAGTATCCCTCCTTCAGGGTCCCCGTGTCCCCCAGGGTGCCCGACACTGGACACAATGTCCCCGTGTACAGAGACAAATCAGCCCCAGGGGGTCCCCAAAGCCCCCTCAGAATCTCCCGGATTTCTGAGCTGACGGGTGCTGGTCCTTCGTGACCACTGTAACTGGGCTCCTGGGTCAGCCATGTCCACTGTGGCTGCCGCAGGGTGAGGGTCAGTCACCTTCGGCTCCAGGATTCTTCTTCAGAACTTCCTTGCAGCTCCGTGGCAAATGAGTGTGCTTGGTCTCGGTCATGGTTGGAGTCAGGGCTGCTCCTGAAAGGGACATTCAGTGTCTCCAGGGAGCCCCACCTGCCCCCTGCCTGCCTGCCCAATCCTCCTCCCTGCCTTGGTGGCTGCCCTGTCCACCCACTACTGGGTGCAGCCAGACTCACCTGCACCCCCGGCCAAGGTGGCCACAGAGAGGAACAGCAGGCAGCAGTGCAGGGACATGGGCCTCTGAGGGGACAGGACACAGGTCAATGGCCCCTGCGCCCCATAGCTGAGCCAGCAGCCCCCAGGGACCCTCTGGATCCGGGTCCCCCAGTCCCACACCCCGAGGGGCAGCTCCCGCTCTGACCCTCACACACCTGAGCTGCCATCTCTGTCCCCCGCAGGCGTGTCCGGTCTGAGCTCCTGGTCACCACGCAGAGGCGCGTCCTTCCTCCTTCACGGCCGAGCTCAGAGTCCTGGGACAGCGCGGGCCCAGCTGCCTTTACGGGTGCAGTTCCCCAAGCCCCGCCTTCCCGCCAAGCCCCAGCCCCTCTGATATCCTTTGAAGGCATTGGCAGCTGCGAAAATAGAACTCTGATGCCACCAGATGCCATCAAAGGGCACACGGGAGGGTCCCACCTGCCAGCACAGCCCTGGCACCTGGTCAGTGCTGACTCCTCCTGTCAGGGCAAATATTGCCTCTTGTGACTCTCTTGATTCCTTGGCGTGAGGGGGGTGAGGTTGCCCTTGTCCCAGGGCCACTCAGCTTGATCTTGGGTGCGTCTCTCTGCAGTCTGGGGGTCCTTGAAACCAGAACCCTGTGTGCAAAGTCTCACCCCACCCACGACCTCCCCTGGCACCCCCACACCCTGTTGTTCCCTGTGACCTCAGAGCGGGCAGCGGGCGGCAGCCTCTGTTCCCAACGCTCCCTGGAACTTTTCCCACCGTATCAGCCCTGCCAGCCTCTAGGTCTCCATCTGTGTTTGCGTTTTTCTCACATTGACTCTTTTTCTTTTGGGGGGAGCATACCAGGACAGTCTCAGGGGTTCCTCCTGGTTCTGCACACAGGAATGACCCCTGGCGGGCTCCAGGGTACCATTTGAGATGCCGAGGATTGAATTCAGGTGGGTCCTGTGCACCCTCCACACTGTTCTATCTCTCCTACCCACACCATATTGTTACCTTTTGTATCATAATTAGGTGTTCGGTATCCAGGAAAGGCCCATCCCAATTTCAAACACAGAGACATAATTTTCTCTTAAAATGTTCACTTTGCATAGTCCATTCACTTTTCTGCTCCAAGCTGCTGGGTTCTGCATTAAGTCCTTGTGCTTCTGGGGCTGTGGCCGTGCTGGAGAGCCGCTCATGGGGGGCAACTGGTGACCTCGGTAGGGAGTGAAGGACGGACCGGAACGCCCCCCTTCCCATGAGGTTTTAGTCGCCCCCACACCCCCGGCTCATACCTGCTGTCCACAAGGCTCCCATGCGGCCGCCATCCTTCTTTCCAGAGAAGAGAGGGCGAATGGGGCAACACCCTTTCCCCTCCGGCAGACTTGATGGCCTGGATTAACGCATAGTTCGTTCACTTTTCTGCTCCAAGCTGCTGGGTTCTGCATTAAGTCCTTGTTAATCCAGGCCATCATGTCTGTCCGGAGGGGAAAGGGTGTTGCCCCATTCGCCCTCTCCTCTCTGGAAAGAAAGATGGCGGCCGCATGGGAGCCTTGTGGACAGCGGGCATGAGCCGGGGGTGTGGGGGCGACTAAAACCTCATGGGAAGGGGGGCGTTTCGGTCCGCCCTTCGCGCCCTACCAAGGCCACCAGTTGCCCCCATGAGCGGCTCTCTGGCACGGCCGCGACTCCAGAGCACAGAAACCAATTTCTTAACTATCTGACTTTCAGTAGAAATACTTCCAGGGTCAATAAGTAAAATAGCAGAAATCCAAAACCAACATTTAATTCTTGAACCCAGATGTAGAAAGCAAATCACTTCACAATGCTTTTTCAGCATGTCTGATTTGTGGGGGGGGGGGGTAAACTCTAAATAATAGTGGTGAATCTTTTATTGAAACAATGAATCTAATCAAAGCAGATAGAGTGTTAACTAGAATTCATCTGCCCCACAGGGACTGGGAGGGCTGGGGGGTAGGGTTTTATTGGGGTTCTTCATGGTAAAAAATAAGTATTGGTAAAGGGAAATGTGTTTGATATTTGAATGACTGAGACCTAAACCTGAAAGCTTTGTAACCTTTCCCACAGTGATTCAATAAATAAATAAATTTTTTAAAAAAATGTTCACTTTGGGGCTGGAGCAATAGCACAGCGGCTAGGGCATTTGCCTTGCACGCGGTCAACCCGGGTTTGATTCCCAGCATCCCATATGCTCCCCTGAGCACTGCCAGGGGTAATTCCTGAGTGCAGAGCCAGGAGGAACCCCTGTGCATTGCCAGGTGTGACCCAAAAAGCCACAAAAAAATGTTGACTCTTCCTTCCAAAAATTTGCTCTACACTTGGTAGAGTTTGCTAAATTTCACTTTAGTTCATTATTCAAGACAGCTGTGATTAGTGGTTCAATGATGTGTATATTACCTTATATTTCATAAACATTTTGGCTGCTTGTAGTCACACCTATGATGCTTAGGGGCTATTCCTGGCTCTGAACTAGGGAATTACACCTGGTGGGGCTCAGGGGACCAGATGGGATGCTGAGTATCAAACCTGAGTGGACCCAGTGCAAGGAAGCTTCCCCTCAGTGGTTTGTATTGTAACAGATACCCAGAAAGTGCTTCTGTACTGGAAATTATTTACTTTCTTAAATTCATTGACCATCCTACCATTGTTACCTTTACATGAAATTTTCCAATTATGTCCTCATTCACAAAAATTTAGGTGTTAGGCAGGGAATACATAGAAAAAAGTAATCATTTAGTAATTTAGTAACATAACAATGTGGACTGGAGCGATAGCACAGCTGGTAGGGCGTTTGCCTTGCACGCAGCTGATCTGGCCGACCCGGGTTCAATTCCTCCATCTCTCTTGGAGAGCCCAGCAAGCTACCGAGAGTACCCCGCCCGCACGGCAAGCCTGGCAAGCTCCCCGTGACATATTTGATATGCCAAACACAGTAACAAGAAGTCTCACAATGGAGATGTTACTGGGTCCTCTAGAGCAAATCGATGAACAACAGGAGGACAGGACAGGACAGTGCAGTGAAGTAACAATGTAGTTTGGTAAGAATTTAGTAATAATTTAGCGATCTCTTTATGATTCACTAATTGTTTTATCACAATCACCAAAGCACACTGACTGTTTCAGATACTTTTCCCTGTATTTTATGCCCATGTTTATTCTGGGGATGTTTGACTGAGAGCAAAGGCGGGTCAGGCCATACAGCAGGTGAGGCAGGTGAGCGTGTCTGTGATGTCCCCGGGACCCTGAGGTGACAGGATTCCTTATCACGGACACCCGCCTGCTCCCCAGACCGTGGTGTGAGATGATATCTCGTTGTTTTGATCTACATCTCCCTGATGATTAATGATGTAGAACATTTTCTCATGTGCCTTTTTGCCATTCGGATTTCTTCTTTGAGAAAGTTTCTTTTAATTTCGTCGCCCCATTTTTTGATGGGGTTGGATGTTTTCTTCTTGTGGAGTTCAACCAGTACTTTGTATATCCTTGATATCAACCACTTGTCGGATGTGTATTCGGCAAATATCCTTTCCCATTCTGTAGACTGTTCTCTTCCAGGATCTGGATTTTATAGTCTCTGAGTCTTGGCCGCTGACGGGATTACACGGCGCCAGGGGGCCAGTTGGTGGGTGTGACCCCCGCCTACTGGAATTTGGAGGATCTGGGTGGAGGATGCTCAGCCCCGACCCGAGCAGGCTTCGAGGTCTCGGCCCCGGAACCCGCGTGGCTTTGTCCCTCTGCCAGTACCTTCATGTGTGCGGAGAGTGGTCTCAGCATGGTGATGGCTGGTCCTGGAGGTCTTTGGCTGCCGGAGCCCCGGTCGGGGCGGGGAGGAAAGCTCAACCCGCTCCCCTCCAAGGGGGCTCCTGCAAGGAACAGCCAGGCGCGGGGGCAGAAGACTGCACTGTTCTCGTCCGGGAGCTGGATTTTATAGTCTCTGAGTCTTGGCCGTTGATGGGATTACACGGCGCCAGGGGGCCAGGTGGTGGGCGTGACCCCCGCCTACTGGAATTTGGAGGATCTGGGTGGAGGATGCTCGACTCCAATCCTAGTAGACTTGGAGATCTCGGCCCCAGAACCCACGTGGATTTGTCCCTCTGCCAGTACCTTCATGTGTGCGGAGAGTGGTCTCAGCATGGTGATGGCTGGTCCTGGAGGTCTTTGGCTGCCGGAGCCCCGGTCGGGGCGGGGAGGAAAGCTCAACCCGCTCCCCTCCAAGGGCTGTCCTCGCATGGTGTGCTTCTGCGTTGCTTTACCATTGTGACCAGTGTGGTTTAGACCTTCACGCTCACTGTTACTATTCTGCTTGAGATGCAGAATGAATTGAGATGGGCTTAATGAATCATTGGCTAATGTGTTTCTCGTGGTTAAGCTAACCTAGTGAAAGTTCCATGTAAGAGGGTAACCTATGATTCCCATGAGATATGAAGTGGGGGAGTACCTTGCGTTCACATTAGCGGCCGCAGCTCCAGGAAGGGGTCCTGCCACCGGGCGGGTACCTGGATGAATGAGGAGAGGGTGCTCGGAACTTTTCAGCTTTGTTTTCGCAGGTGTGCCTCAATTCCAATCCCCTGCAGACCAAGGGTGAAAACCAGCCCTTCTCAGGGGATCTAGTTAGCCGCACAGGCCCAGGAAGGGGCCCTGCCACCAGGCGGGTTCCTGGATGAATCGACACTCCTGCTTTTGGTTGGGCTTGGTTTTGTTGCCTTTGGATCACATTGTCTGCACTCAGGAATCACTCTAGGCAGTGGTCAGACCTTAATAGGTTACCAGGGATCAAAGCCAAGTTGGCCATTTGCAAGGCAAGTTCTCCTACCCTTTGTATCATCTCTCCAGCCTGGGATAAAAATTAAAACCCCCTACACTTCACTTATTTGTACAAGATCACAAGACACCAGAGCTAGGATGGATGCAATTTATTGTCTGGTTCATCTGTCAAGAAACAGAGTCTGATTTTCTGTGGTCCAGATGCAGTTCAGCAGGGCACGAGGTGATGGTGGGGGATGGTGTGCGGGGAGGGGACTTGTCCAGCACGGTCAACGATAGAAGAGCAGCACGGCCGCCTCGGTGATGGCGCGGCTGTTGCTGGCTATCGTGTGAGTCCCGTACCCACTGCTGTCGAAGCCTGAGAAGTCCCCGCACTGTCTGGGACTGTCTTCCGCGAAGAAGCCTCCTCCTCCGATGCAGTGCTGGAAGCAGAAAAGAAATTGAGGGCTTCACAGCCACTAGAGTGAGGCAGCCCCCGATACTCCCCGTGGCATGGCACACAGGTCCCTGAGCCGTCACCAAGGCGGCCCTGATCTGGCTGTGCCCGCTGGCCCCTGGACATGCCTCGTGTATTGCTCAGAGATTGTTTCAACCAAGCCATGCAGCCCGCAGGGATACCCTAAATCTAGCAGAGCTTGGGCACCTCTGCAAACCACCTCCCCTCAGACCCAGGGTGACGCGTGTGGTTCCCTGGCTCCAAGCCCTCCTCTTCTCCCACCTTGTTGGTCTCTGATGCATCTCAACATCAGCATAGTGTGCCCATCTGGACATCAGGGTGTGCCCTGGCCAGAGCCGGCAGCCCCGTGACTGAGCTCATGTCTGTGCTGGTGAACCGTCTCTTTGTGTTCAGACAGGGGACACTAGTGCCTGTGGATTCAGTAACGCACTGACACATTTTTCCCTAACTGAGGTCCCAGGAGAGTGTCATGGAGCTACCACATTCCTGGAGGAATCACTGCATGAGGGTGTGATGGGCACTGGGGAACTGAGGGAGATCCCGGAGCCAGGGAGGAGGTAGCTGTGAGAATAAACACACATACACACACTCATATAACACACACACACACACACAGGTACGAAACACATAAGCATGCATTCATGAACACACAGTATTAACACATACATGCATGTACACGTGTGCACGTGCTGATCACTCAGACTCACATGTTCCGTGTTGCACCCGGTAACTCTCATCCCCGGACACAGTGCGTTGGCTGCTCTCTCATTATTAAACACCCGGAATTGGATAAATCCAGCATCAAATTCCTCTGGGGAGAAAGAGCAGAGAAGGGTCTCGCGTCAGTGCAGGGGGCCAAGGAGCCCCTTGACCGAGCAGGGAGACGGGAGCAGCCACGTGGCAGCACCAGCCCGTGGCCCACCCTCGCCATGCCCACTCTCTCCCTGGGAGCCCCCAACGTGCCCTGAAATCTCTTTTCCCTTTCAAGACTCCACAGACTATTGCCCTGAAGTAGAACTAAGAGCTGCTGCCCATTCCTGAAGATGGGAAGTCTACATTAAGTTTCTAGGCTCGGAGCAACCGCGTAGATAGTACCAGCGGGGTTATTCCCCGTGTGACAGCCTGTCAAGGGGAGTGAGTCCATCTGCTCTCATAGATTTCTCATCCCGGTGAGGGTCAGGGGCGCGTTTGTCAAGGCTGCTCTGCTCGGTTCCACGAACCACAGGACAAGGAGGCTTTATCCTCAGCACAAACAGCAGACACTCACTCTGACCAAAGGGAGAATAGTAGGAAGCAGTTTTCTCGGGACTCCCATAGTCATATTCCACAGGAACGGCGGGGCCGTTGTCGCGCCAGCATCTGCCGATGTTGTACTCGACGGGATATCTCTGCAGGAGCCACCAGGGTGAGTCAGAGCCGTTGGCGTGCATTTATGAACACACAGTTCCATGAGTGTTCCCCACACCACCCCCTGTCCCTGTCTCCTGAGACACTTCGTGCCTGGCTCAGGTGTTAGGGGAGTTGCAAAGAGAGAGAGAGAGACAGAGACAGAGACAGAGACAGACAGAGACAGACAGAGACAGAGACAGAGAGACAGAGAGATGATGCGGACAGACCCCATAGACACTCTCAAAGCAAACGCTAGTGACAGAGGAAGAGATGTCTCATTCCTCACCCCATTGGCGCTTGCCAACCTCAACCCACAAATGCCTCCAGCCGCACCCACGTACCTGGTAGAGGCCAAAAAGGTTGTGTCCGAATTTCTTGAAGAAGTCTGAGTAGGTGAAGTACCTCAGCAGAGAGCTGTTCCTCCAGGACGTCAGTGGGGTCTTGTTAGGGACATGCCAGATGGCCAGGTCCCCCGCCTGGATGTCATAGTAGCCGGGGTTCTGCAAACCCCACAGAGCGGTGGTCAGGGCCCATGGCCACACACCACATAGCCTCATGGAGCCCAGAGCACCAGCAGGACAGCTGGACACAGCACAGACCCCCAATCAGAGGACCAGGACCCTGATCGCCCCAGGTTCCTGAATGATGGAAGGAGAGGTCACTCAACACACAGAGGTCTCTCTGTCCACATGCCTCTGCCCATGCCCAGCCCATCTGCTAAAGCTGGGCCAGCCCGATGCTCCCAGTGCTGGCCCAGCTGGGGCTCACCTTGTAGTCATCGCTGGTGGCTGCCTCTGGAGACCCAAAGGTGTTGTAGTTGGCCCAGTTGTCATCTCCCCTGGGGGTGTCTGCTCGGTTGCCCTGCTGGCTGGACCAGCGATCCCCTGCCGTGCATTTCCCATACATGTTGTTTTCGTGCACGCTGGCCACCAGAGTCCAGCCGCCACCATTTGTTTCCATGTCACAGAAGGTCTGGTAGACTTTCCCTTGCTCAGTGCGGAGAAAGTACAGGCCATCTGCAGGGGACAACAGATGGGGTGGGTAGGGGCTCAGGACACCTCTATGCCCCCTCACATAGGGTCCTGGTCACCAGCTCAAAATTGGGAGCCCGGGAGATCCAGCCCGGCCAAGCATCCCCTTGAAGGGACATGTGCCCGGGCCCCCATCCCTCTTGGGACAGGGCTGAGCAGACACTTGAGACAGCCCTCCTGGCCAGCTCAGTATTCCTCCTTCAAGGCCCCCGTGTCCCCCAGGTTCCCCGACATTGGACAAAATGTCCCTGAGTACTGGGACACATCTGCCCCAAGGGAGCCTCAAAGCCTTGTCCCCTCAGAATCAGATTTCTGGGCTGACGGGCGCTGGGTCCTCCGTGTCTACTGTGGCTGGGCTCCCGGGTCAGCCGTGTCCACTGTGGCTGCCGCAGGGTGAGGGTCAGTCACCTTCGGCTCCAGGATTCTTCTTCAAAATTTCCTTGCAGCTCCGTGGGCAATGCGTGTGCGTGGTCTCAGTCATGTTTGGAGTCGGGGCTGCTCCTGAAAGGGACATTCCAAATCCATGGGGACCCTCCTGCCCCCTGCCTGCCTGCCCAGCCCCCCTCCTGCCTTGGTGGCTAATCAGGTCCCTGTTCTAGCTTTGTGTCCCTAACTCCTGTCTGCCACCGCCTAGCTGAGGACTCCTAGCCCAGGGACCCTATGTGAGGGGCATAGAGGTGTCCTGGGCCCCTACTGGTGCAGGCGGGGACGTCTGGACACCCACCCCAGATGCTCTCTCTGAGCACTCAGGGCCCAGAGGGGCGGATGCCCCCACCCCTTAATCACAGTCCACTCTGGACAACAGGGTCACCAGGTCCGGGTCACCTCTGCATTCCTCTCCCTCCTAGCACTCTGATCCCTCCATGCCCTGTCCACCCACTCCTGGAGACCACCCAGACTCACCTGCACCCCCGGCCAAGGTGGCCACAGCGAGGAACAGCAGGCAGCAGTGCAGGGACATGGGCCTCTGAGGGGACAGGACACGGGTCAGTGGCCACCGTGACCCACAGCTGAGCCAGAAGCCCCCAGGGACCCTCTGGAACCGGGTCCCCCAGTCCCACACCCCAAGGGGCAGCTCCCGTTCTGACCCTCACACACCTGAGCTGCCATCTCTGTCCCCCACAGGCGTGTCCGGTCTGAGCTCCTGGTCACCACGCAGAGGCGCGTCCTTCCTCCCACACGGCCGAGCTCAGAGTCCTGGGACAGCACGGGTCCGGCCGCCTTTATGGGTGCAGCCCCCCGAGCCCTGTATCCCGGCCAAGCCCCAGCCCTTCTGATGTCCTTTGAAGGCCCTGGCGGCCGCGAGGACAGAACTCGGCCACCAGATGCCATCTAAAGGGCACGGAGGTGGGTCCCTGCCTGCTGGCACAGTCACTGGCACGAGGTCAACGCTGACTCCTCCTGTCAGGGCAAATATTGCTTCTGTGACTCTTGATTCCTGCAGGGTGGAGGGGGTGAGGGTGTCCATGTCCCAGGGACACTCAGCTTGTTCTTGGGGGCGACTCTGCAGTGCTGGGGGTCCTTGAAACCAGAATCCTGTGTGCAAGCCTTATCCCACCCACCACCTCTCCTGGGACCCCCACGCCCTGTTGTTCCCTGTGACCTCAAAGTGGGCTCAGGAGGCAGCCTCTGTTCCCAACGGTCCCTGGACCTTTTCCCACCATATCAGCCCTGCCAATCTCCAGGTCTCCATCTGTGTTTGCTTGTTTCTCCGCGGTGCTCATCATGTTGACTCTTTTTATTTTGTGAGGGATCACACCCAGAATCCTCAAAGGTTCCTCCTGGCTCTGCACTCAGGAATCACTCCTGATGCTGTTCAGAGGACCATCTGGGATGTGGGGAGCAAGCCTGGGTCACCCACAAGCCAGGCAGGCGCCTCTGTCTGTACTGTCTCTCCAACCCCCATCACTTTGTTAACTTCTGTATCGTAATTAGGTGGTTGGAATCCAGAGAAACCCCATCCCATGCTCACACACAGACACAATTTTCCTCTTAAGTAATAGTCGCTGTTCCCAAACATTTGCTGTATACTGGGTGGAATTCGCTGAATTTCCCTTTAGCTCATCATTCAAGAGAGCTGTGATTAATGGCCAATAGCACTGTAGTACTGTCTTCTCATTGTTCATCGATTTGCTCGAGCGGGGACCAGTAACGTCTCACAACAAATTGTGAGACTTGTTGTTACTGTGTTTGGTATATCAAATATGTCATGGGGAGCTTGCCAGGCTTTGCCGTGCAGGCAAGATATTCTTGGTAGCTTGCCGGGCTCTCCGAAAAGGGGCAGAGAAATCAAATTGTGTGTGTGTTTTATTTTATTTTTAATATATTATTGCCTTTTTAGGGTCATAACCCACGATGCTCATGGCTTTTTCCTGGCTTTGCACTCAGGACTTACTCCTCCTGCAGTTCTGGGGACCCGATGGGATGCTGGGGATCGAACCCGGGGTCGACTACTTGCTAGGCAAACACCCTCCCTGCTGGGCTATCGCCCGGGCTACAGGAGTGTGTATTTTAACAGATAAACAGGAAAGTGCTTCTATACTGGAAATTATTTTCTTTCTTAAATTCTTTGAACATCCAACAATTGTTATAATTATATAAAATGTTCCAATAATCTCCTGCTCATTCACAAAAATGGAGGTGTTTGGCAGGGAATAAAAGGAAAAACAATTGTTACAATTAAATAACATTAAGTAACCATTCAGTAATGTAGTAACAATGTAGGTTGGTAAGAATTTAGTAACAATGTAGCGATCTCTTTTTTTCTCTCTAATTGTTTCACCAAGTCAGCAAACCACACTGCCGTTTCAGATACTTCTCTCTGTATTTCATGCCAATGTTTATTCTGGGGAAGATTTTTTTTTTTAATTTATTTATTGAATCACTGTGGGAAAGGTTACAAAGCTTTCAGGTTTATGTCTCAGTCATGCAAATATCAAACACATTTCCCTTTACCAATACTTATTTTTTCCCATGAAGAACCCCAATAAAACCCCACCCCCCACCCCTCCCCGTCCCTGTGAGGCAGATGAATTCTAGTTAACACTCTATCCGCTTTGATTAGATTGTTTCAATAAAAGATTCACCACTATTATTTAGAGTTTACCCCCCCCCCCAAATCAGACATGCTGAAAAAGCATTGTGAAGTGATTTGCTTTCTACAGCTGGGTTCAAGAATTAAATGTTGGTTTTGGATTTCTGCTATTTTACCTATTGACCCTGGAAGTATTTCTACTGAAAGTCAGATAGTTAAGAAATTGGTTTCTGTGTTCTGGAGTCATGGCCGTGCTGGAGAGCCGCTCGTGGGGGGCAACTGGCGGCCTCGGTAGGGCGTGAAGGGCGGAGCGAAACGCCCCCCTTCCCATGTCTGGGGAAGATTTGACTGGGAGCCAAGGCGGGTCAGACCATATGGCGGGTGACCGTGTCTGTGATGTCCCAAGGACCCTGAGGTGACAGGATTCCTTATCACGGAGACCCGCCTGCTCCCCAGACCACACGCTTCAAAGGAGGCCGGACGTGCCTCTGGGAGAATCACAGTGCTGATGGTGGAGTCTGGGGTGAGAAGCAGGTCAGAGGGCAGAGGCTGGGGTCCCTGAGGGATCTTGACTCTCTGTCTCAGCCTGTCTTCCTGGGCTGTGGATGGCACAGTTGGTAGCTGCCGACGGCCCAGTTCTTTGCTTTTTATCTGATAAGCTGGAGTGATAGCACAGTGGTAGGGCGTTTGCCTTGCGCACAGCCAGCCTGGCCGAGCCAGGTTCGATTCCTCCGCCCCTCTCAGAGAGCCTGGCAAGCTACCAAGAGTATTCAATATGCCAAACACAGTAACAACAAGTCTCACAATGGAGATGTTACTGGGCCCGCTAGAGCAAATCAATGAACAACGGGAGGACAGTGTTTGTTTGTTTTGTATTAAGTCAATTATTTTATGTCAGAGTCTTACACCAGGAGAGTACTTGGGGGACAGGTCTGGGGGTGAGAACGAAGCCACCCTGCACTCAGCCCTGTGATTGAGGAGAGATTTGGGGCAATGCCATTAGTGGACCAGGATTCCCACGAGTGGGTCGCGGTCTCCCGGCTTCTAGGAGCACAGGTGGGTGCTGCAGGGTCCCTGGGCGGTGGGGCAGGGCTTGGAGAGGAGGGGACTGTAACCATAGGGATGGGACTCTGCAACATGAGGCAGTGAGGAAGTGTCCACAGTGACACCACACAGAGCCCATGGTGACAGGTGACACAGGGGGTGGAAATCCTGATTTTAATAGAATGGGAAATTTGTAAAAGTATTAGTTAAAACTCTAGTGAGGAATCTTGGCCTATGAATAACTTACTAGTAATATCATTGTGAATGAGGATTGCCATCTAGATTTCTTCAGTGTTAAAGGGAAGAAATCAACCAGACAAAATTAGGCTGTATTTAGGCCCCTGTTTTCACGTTTTTGCGCAAAAACTAAGTTGAAGGTAGTGTGGTTTTCATTCGTTCATGGTGGCGTGTTTCTTGAATATCTTCTTATGTGCTACCACCCAAGATAATTAGCGACCATATAGCTTAATTTCTAGTGGTGAATTTGTGTATTAACTGAAGTTCATATTTCTCACTTGTAAAGTGAGAATAAAAGTATTTTATAGAGATTTTAAAAGTTTGTGTAGGAATGTCTTTAAACTGCACCATAGCATGTGTGTTAAATGCTCGCTGCTATTCTGTAAGATAGTAGCATGATTTTTCTGGCAAGCTGGCTCTATTTTACGCTGTTATCATGCTGGAGTGATAGCACAGCAGTAGGACATTTGCCTTACAAGCGGCCAACATGGCCAACCCGAGTTCGATTCCTCCGCCCCTCTCGGAGAGCCCGGCCAGCTACCGAGAGTATCTCACCCGCACGGCAGAGCCTGGCAAGCTCCCTGTGATGTATTCGATATGCCAAAACACAGTAACAACAAGTCTCATGATGGAGACGTTACTGGGCCCGCTCGAGCAAACCGATGAACAATGGGAGGACTGTGGGTTTTCTGATGCACTGTAAGTAGTTGTAGTAATATCCCAAAGGACTGATCAAAGAAGTAGGTGTGTTTTGAGAACTACTTTGTAGAACATTTTTTAGAAAGTAAAATGAAAAAGCAGATCATTATTTTTTCTGTGCTCTAGATATTTCTTAGCAAGAGGGAAAACTCAGGATAGTCTACATGTAAAAGTTTATTAGGGCAGATGGAATAGATATTACAGCAAAGCAGAGTGATTGCCATGAATGCAGCTGACCCAGGTTTAATAGACAGGAAAGTCCTTAAGCACTGCCATGAGTAATCCCTGAGCAGAGCTTGTGTGTGGCCCAAAAACCTAAATAAATAAAAGTTTACTAGGGTGCCAGGAAATGAGTTTGCAAGTGTGATGTCTTGTGAATTTGTTTCCCTGTGCTACTGCTTAGTGGGATCCTGTCAGCTCTGCAGTTTGAGGCTGGCAATTCAGTTTATGATTCCTGGCACCACAGACGATTTTCAGTCACTCTAAATAGTGTTTGAGCACCACAGTTTTTATGAAAAGCGTGTGCAGGCATTATGGTATGGGGCTGTGACACAAAATCCCTCCCCTCTGGCAAGCAGTGCAACCAGAATGCGTGAAGCACCACAACCGAATGAATGTGACCTCAACAAGCACAGCTGAAAATACCTGTGAGAATCACAGGACTACATCCAAGTGTATACACAACCACTAGTCATGACATTGACAGGAAGGGAGAGGTAGGGGGAAGGGAGTGGAGTTTATTATAGTCAGGTATACTTTTATTTATTTATTTATTTTGCTTTTTTGGGTCACACCTGGCAATGCACAGGGGTTACTCCTGGCTCATGCACTCAAGAATTCCTCCTGGCGGTGCTCGGGGGACCATATGGGGTGCTGGGAATCGAACCCAGGTATGCATTCGATATGCCAAACACAGTAACAACAAAGTCTCATAATGGAGATGTTACTGGGCCTGCTTGAGAAAATCGATGAACAACAGGAAGACAGTGGCTGGGAGGGTCCATGGCAGAGAATGTGTGAGGTCTGAGTTCCATCCAAAGCAAAACACACAAATACACACACACACTCATACACACATACACATCCGCAAACCACACAAATCATCAAGATCTACAACAATCCTGTTTTGTTTTGTTTTTAGTGAAACACCATGAGG